TTAAATTATACATTTTTTAAAATGTTCGTATTACTGATTTTACTTGCTGTTTTCTTGCTGTAGTTTCTCCCCATGATTACATGATTACTGTTTTATTTGTTTAATTATTGTTATATTTAGCAACTGTACTTTGAAAATGTATAAAGACTGATGTAAATTCATTTTATTCTGCTTTAGATACTGAAGATGGAATCTGACAGAATTCCGAAATGTTTATCCATGTCCCCTTTTTGTCAATAAACAATGTTGTATATCATAAGTGTCGTAATCTTGTTTATAATCACATTCTTTCAGTTTTCAAATCATAAAAAATTTATTCTAATGAGCTAACTACCACTTTTTTAGAAATGTGAGAAAACAATGGAAAGGTATCACAAACAATAAAAAATGGCCCAAAAGTATATAATGACAAGTGTGTGGAATAAACAAAAATGTGCAAACTGTGTTTAGGCAACAATGTCCCAACTGATATTATACTGTATGTTTATAACCTGATGATGTAATACCTGTCTACAAGGTTAAGGAAGATTTTCTATGTATTAATGACCTTTAACCCATGATTTTCAAAAGTTGTTCAGGTCTAGAACTTTCTGCTACGGTAACTTTTGCATAAGTTTGGTCAAAACCAAACCATACAATCTTGGATATATTCTGCCAATAACATCAGGATAAATGGAAGAAAAAGACAGTGGTAAAACAAATATGCCCCTCATTGCAATGTTTTGTACTAGAAGCATAAAAAAATATTTCCTGGTCAATACAAAAAAATTCCATTAAAATATATGATTAAAGACTCTTCTGTAAACTTCGGAATAAAACATCTTAGTATTCAATTATTTTCTAATTTTAATTTAAACAGTTAATAGGATTATTTCTGTCTCTCACTTCATACTTGAAAATTATTCAATAAATTTTCACCAAAGTTGATGTACGTGTACAATGTATTACAAGTAACAACTCGAAGAACCAAAAAATTAAGACATTTTAATATCTAGGGATTTCTTAGTTATTTGTTTTTAACATTTTTCTATAACTTAAAAAGTGATTGTGAGAGGACTGAGCAAGTAAATATGGTCTATTCTATTGAATTTCAAATGTATTCTCAACACAGATATAGTTTTACAAACACTGTTAACTGAGTTTATTCTAAAAACTTAAGGATGTAAATAAGAATGTATAATTATATGTCAACCACGATGTATCTGCTATATCCAGTGCTGATGAGGCCTTTCACTAAATATCAAGGTTCACAGGTCATCTGAGATATGACAGATATATTAGTAAATTGTATGAACAACAGAGTGAATTAGATTAAGTTGATGAAGTGTAATTTTTAGCTATATACAAATCAGAATTAGGGAGAAGATTAATAACAAATTACTATTTATTTATTTTAACACCATTATTAATTATTATTAATGTTTCTATTAATTAAATTTACTCATCATTAAAATCAACTGGCAAACCAGACAGAGTACATACAAAAACCACCACCCCACTGTACACAGCAGCATACAAGATTTTGGCCATGTTCAAACAATCTTTTATCTGGAACATTTTATGGCCATTTCCATATTATTGGTTGTAAACATAGCTATAAGTTTTGCAAACACGGACATGCAGACTACTTGGTTGTGGATGCTGATAATTATTCACAAAGCTGGTTGCTGATATTTGGTTCAATTCTCCAAAAGTAAGGGTGATGATCTGTGACAAAAGCTCAAATAAAAACTAAAAAACCCAACTTCAAATGAATGCATTAATCTTGAGGCTAGAAATAAATGCTTTTTTATTAGTATGTTTCTGTTTGATAGTATTTAGTGAAAAATAAAGAAATAATTAACACCCTAAAAAAGTAGGCAATGCTCCAAAAATGATCAGTTAAAACAAAATGTGTGTGCAACATTTCAAGCAGGATTTTTTTCTATTTTCTATTCTCTCAAGTACCAATAGGAATCAAAACTACAACACAGTAAAAGGATGTTTCAACCAACCAAAGCACTTTACAATTGTTATCACATTACACTGTTCACTGTTGAAATAAATAGGTCAAATTTTGGAACATAGTTTTCTCTCAGCTTTAGGGAATTTTATCATATCCTTTTTGACTTATCTTTCATGAATTATTAAAATAAACATATGAGGCACATCTAATGAGAAACTTTTCTTCTTTATGTTTAAGACTTTTGTAAATCTATAATATTTACCACAGCAAAGAGCAAAAACAAGATTTCTTATTTTGTTATTCATGACAGTGAGGGAAACACATTCATGCACAAGGCTTTTTATCTATTTTTTTGCATAAATAACCAGGTGTGAAACTATTATTTTTCAGGGTTTCATCTGGGATCATTTTCTTTAACCTCTGCAATGCTGTTTCTCGATGAAATTGCCAAAGTTGCTTCTGTGACAGCAGCTTTCTCCAATTAAATTGTTTTTGTAATCGTGTCATTTAAAAACATTATCTTTTTTATGAATTATGACAATGAAAGAAACTTTAGCAAGCATTAAAATATGCAAGTTGTGTTAACATACAAATGCAGTAAACTATGAATAAACTAAGTTTACAGATGACAAACAATACAACTAAATATTGTTTCTGTTACAATAGCATTGTCAGAGGGAACTACATTAGAAGTCTTTTTACATATGTTAGTTATATTTTTATTTTAAAGTCATGAACAGTTCACTGTACGGGTAGAAAGTAATGAAGATTCTTTATTTGTATCGGTTGTTGTTGTTTGTTATTAAGTACAAAGCTACACAAAGGGCTATCTGTGCTCTGGAACCACAGATATCAAAACCCGGTTTCTAGTGGTATAAGTCTGCAGACATACCACTGTGCCACTGAGGGAATTATTTGTATTGGACAATGATATCTTTAATAATGATTGCAAAGGGAAAGTTCAACACAAATACAGTCACTTTCAAACATATATAAAGAACCAAAAATATGTTATTTTACAGTTGCAGCAAACATACAAACTTCTTTAGCTGTTATTGTTGAGAAGTAAATTCCCTGAGGAAGATTAGGACTTAAAGGATCATAAATGGAGATAAAGAAAACTGTGGGTTGAAGGTAACAAAGTTTTTTTAAGATGTGAATCAAAAGGACTGTCAAATTTAATACTGTGTTTCACTGTGTGGTGTACTTAGTTAATTTCAGTACACATAATGGTAGACTCAAACTTGTGTAAGGCCAATGGTATACATTCATTTGTGGACTGTCAAATTTAATACTGTGTTTCAATGTGTGGTGTACTTAGTTAATTTCAGTACACATAATGGTAGACTCAAGCTTCTGTAAGGCCAATGGTATACATTCATTTGTTGGTAGGTTCATCCAGTGTCTTTATAGCAGCAACATTATATCTATTAGAACTGTATTAAAGCACTTACTGTTTCTGTTTAATGATGAAATGTGGAGATATTTCATATTTCTTGAATAATACATGTAAGAAAGAATGACACAACAGAATAACATTAACCAAATTACCATTCTTATAAAAATTAGTTAACAGTGCTTCAGTCTTTCTTTAATAAAAATATCACAATGGTCTGAACTACAAATTTAGGATGTTCATAGAATATTAAATCATGTATATTTGTAATACTCATCAGTTTATTTCCATGTGCTTTCCATAAACTTTAAAAGATTTTAATGATTCACAGTACTTCTGAAGACATAAGTTGCATTACTAAGAAACAGTTAATGCATCAATTTCAACAAATAAACAAAAACCCCAAAAAACTATGTATTTATTAATATTTGAGGCACTGGCATTCATTTATAATTACAGGTAGGAAACCCTAATAACATTTTGAAGCTTTGTAAAATTAAAATAAACATGGAAAGTAAGATATGAGACATGTAATATTACTGTACTTATAATATATCACACAATTTTCTTAGTGACCTAGGAAGCATTGAAGTTGTATATGTTGTCTAGTGGATATTACCCACATCATGTAACAATGGTAAACAATATATATTCATAAAGTACAAAAGGAAATCTAAGTTACGTTTTAGATTAGAAGTATCATCACTTGATTAACACCTGTTGTAATGCAATTATAGAGATGCTAACATTTGAAAATGTGAAATAGTACTGAACCACAAACCTTGGCTGGATAGTAAAAACTGGAGAAAAGTTATGTTCCAACAACAAGCAAGCATAAGAAATATGAGCAAAAATTCAAGGAGTTTATGCAAGTAATATTAATTTGAGAAAACAAGTATATTTACATTATATAACATGTAATATAAAAATAAATATGAACTATTTTTTCAAGTTTATATGTTACTTCACAATAACATTCTAGCTACAATGAACACTACTGGTTGTTTCAAATCATTATGTTTGAAGGATATTTTTTTAATACTGTTATTTTGAAATATGTTAATATTTACATAATAACTATAAAAACAGACTGCAATTTTTTTTTGTTCTTGCAAAGTATTGGACAAAAAACATTCCCAAAATCCTTTCAATGAATAAATATACAAGTTAAAAAAGAAACACTCTCTTATTTAATAAATTCATACTTCTGTATGTGTGTGTGTGTGTGTGTGTGTGTGTGTGTGTTATATATATATATATATATATATATATATATATATATATATACTAACTAACT